ATGTCGATATCTTAATCCTAAATTTCTTGATTGAAGGTTTATTGCGATATATCTCAACGGATGCGAAATACTATTAGGTATTTCTTTTCCGTTGTCTCCCTCTCTAATCTCCACTATCTATTCCTCTGTCTCCCCACTTTGCCTTGATGTCTATTGATTGAGAGGGAGCTACCGATTCGGGTTTTTATGGTAAGAAAAACCATTTGCAGATGCCGCAAGCATGAAAGCCGACTGAACTGCTCTAAAAATAAAGGTAGCGCATGGTTTCAACTTTCAAAGATGATAGGTATGAGAAGAATTGGATGGGTCGATTGTGGGTGTGAACTAGGAAGGGAAATCAATAGTTGCAATTGATGGTGATGAGGTGTTGAATTACTGGTGTGCAGTGTAATTAATTTGGGTGTGGCGTCCGCCAATGTTCTCTTTTGTTTGTAGTGCAGACTTTCATGGCTTTAAAATCCAATGCTTTTAATTAGAGAATATGAAAAAAAAAGTGAGGATTACAGAATTTGCAGCATGAACGATCTCGTATCCTCTGTACTTTGGAGCTCTTGGAGTTGGAGAGAACCCGCCTTCGTTTGGTTAGCTGGGTTTTGGGTAGGTCTAATCGGCCATCAGTTCGGGCTCGATTAAACAAAGCCAGCCCGCCACATAATAGGCCACGTGGACCAATCACAAACTGAGTTACCGGTGCCGCACTTTTTACAGCGGCACTGTAGTATTGGCCTAACCCTTATATAAAAAAAAAACTTTTTGTGTCTCAACTTTTCACTTTAAAATGGTCACCCACTGTCTTTAAAGCATTCACTATCATTTGAGTTATTGTTCGATTGCATACTCTTTGTTATGGGGAAACCTAAACCTCTGTCTTTCCTTGTCAAAAACGACAGTATGTGAGTTGGTTCGTTGGCAAATCTGCAGTATGTCTATTTACAAGGCTGCGTGTTAGTAGGGCTCTTTCCTGAAAGTGGTACTCTTTGTCTTTGGTGCCTTGCTACTTGATGTGTAAGGAAAAAAGTGTGATGGAATGAAACTCACTAGCGAGTGACTCGACTGACTAACAGTTCGTTTGATCTTTCAAGCTTCAATTAATGGGTTTCGGCCATATCTGCAGCAGGAGCGAGCTTCATGTCCAATTTGTCCAACGAGGTATGACTTTTGGTCATATAAATGAGATTTCTCAACAGAAATCGTACCGGAGACCGTACCGAAAAAGTCAGTGGTAGGGTATTTTATGGCAAAATCGTGGTTTAATCGTAGTTCAACAGTTCTAAGTTAATTGTTCAATTAACTTAGAACTCATCCTTAACTAATTTCATATGAAAACTCAGTTCTCGCTAGCAAATTGGCAACCTTAAATGATCGAGAAATCTACCACTCTGATAAAATAGTTTCAAGTTACAAATTGAATTTGTACAATAATATTAAAGATACAAGTTCAGTTTGTACCATTGATAAACTTGTACAAAAAAAGGTATAGTTACTAACTATATATATTTGTATCATTACATCAAAGATACAAATCCCATTTGTGTCTTAAATGGTTTTTTCATGTAAATCAAGCATCGTTGCTATTAATCATTGTAGAATTCATCTCGAGTAAGATGCAAAATAAATTGCGCTTCATTCCCAAACACAAAAACTTATGTACTCTATAGAAGTGACAATTTTATATCCAATCCGCGGATACAATCAAATCCATCCACTAATCCAATCCAGTCCAATTCATTTAATCTAAATCCAATTGTATTGTTAGATTGGATTCATGGATATTTGTAAAGTTATCGTTTAGTACATATATATTTTTTTACTTAAATCTTATTTTTTTTAACATAAAATCTCACGGGAAATATTTTTATCAAGACATTTAGCATCTAAAATTTTCAAAATTTACATATTGGTCCAATGTTTAAATGTCACTTTGATCAATGAATTTAATTATCTACCAATCCATTTGATCCATATCCATAAATCCAATCTATTTGCCACCTTTACTTCTCTACTTATAAATTTCGCTTTCGCACATTCAACTCTTTAGCCAGTCGATGCAATCGAATATAAATCTTATGGGTAAATTACATGGTTGGTCACTCGGATTACTAAAAGATATCATGTTTGATCACTAAAAATATTTAATTTCATTCGTGGTCACTAAAATTAGTTACATATTCCAAGTTTAGTCACTCTCCGTCCAACTCTGTTAACTTTTGCTGATGTGGCAGTCAACTCTATTTGTTGACCGTTAAATGTGTGACGTGACAATTTAACAATATTAAAAAAAATAAATTTTAATTTCTTAAAATTTCCATATCATTTACATCTATTAAAAAAATAAACTAAAAAAGATGACCCATGACCCAACCCTGCCTTCTTTACCCCACCCGCCTTCTCTTGCCTCCCTCCGGCTTCCGTCCTCCAATCCTCCAACCACCACAACCGAAGATCTCTGCGCCCAGCCTTCCCCTCGCAATGCCAGAATCTGGGACAAAATCAAAGACGTCAAGCTCGTCATCCTCCTATGAGGCGCATAGTGATTTTGTGGCCGTCGGCCTGGAGGTTGCTCATACCGCGATTCTGTGTCTGATTGATGGCGATCCCTTGAGCCTACAATTGTGCCTGGAGTTGGGCGTGAGCATGCGACTGTGGTTCCAATTGGGCATGCACATTGGCTTGAGCTTGAGACGATGGAAACTGATTCTGCAACCCTGAACCCATTTAGGGATGTGCAGTGCTTGTGACTGCGAGAACCCTTGGTTGGGAGAAATCGATGCGTTGATAATTCCAAATGGGAATGATGATTTCCCTAAGCTCTTTGGTGAAGTATTATTGTTAGCAGCAGCCATTGCTTCTTCCTTTTTTTCATAATCTGAATACCAGAACCACCAATTTGCATATCACTACGGCGAACCTTCACGAGAACAATAACCCCATAAACCCAAATTCCTACAAATCAAACGGGGAAGCAGCTGCTCCCGCTAATAGTTGACAAAATCACTATTCGACTCATAGGAGGATGACGAGCTCGACGTCTTTGATTTCGTCGCAATTTTTGGCGTAGCGAGGGGAAGGCTCAGCGCAGAGATCTTTGGCCGTGGTGGTAGGAGGATTGGAGGGCGGTGGCCGGAGGGAGGCAAGAGAATGGAAAGGTCGGGCGGTAGGATTTGGGTCATGGGTTTAATTTTTAATAGCGGTAAATGATGTGGAAATTTTAAGAAATTAAAATTTATTTTTTTCAATTGCCACATCACACATTAAATGGTCAACAAATAGAGTTGACCGCCACATCAGCAAAAGTTAACGGAGTTGGACGGAGAGTGATCAAACTTGAAATATTTAACTAATTTTAGTGACCACGAATAGAATTAAATATTTTTAGTGACCAAACATAACACTTTCTAGTAATCCCAGTGACCAACCTTGCAATTTACCCTAAATCTTATACCTATTTATACCTATTTTTTTCAGTGTAAACACAGTTTCATTGTGCCTACTTTGGAGATTCATATCTTACAATTGGCTCAATGGAAATTGGAGATTAATAGCTTGTTTTGAAGCCGGAGTGTCCCTCTACACATTGAAGTGCTTGGGAGCTTGATAGGAAGTCTAGAAAATCAATTTTGTACCTGATCAAAAGGCTATGCAAAAACTGGGAAACTGCCTGAAAATGGCTAATTCTGTGAACTTGTTTGTGAAGTCTACTTTGGAGCTCAATTCGATAAGCATGAATGAGAGTCGAGTCCATGGGCCTCTACCAAATGAAAGTATGTATATTTGTCTACTAAGGCAAGGCATTGGATGAAATATTGAATATCTGGAAGGCTTAAAAAAAAAAAGGATCGAAGTTTATTACAAAGGCTGTTTTTCTGACAGCTTGCTTGTGCTAGAAGGCAGCTTACTTCGACCCTTATGTAAAAATCACTTTTCCTATCTAACATTCATTTTTTCCCCTACTTTTTGATTCTTTTATATTCTCTTCTTTGCCTCAATTAAGTTATCATGGATTTTAGTTAATTGATTATTTTTCTATTTATTTACTATTTGAATCCTTTCAAATAATTTTGCATTGTTTTTTATTGATTGATGATTTATTTATATCTATCATATTTTTATGAAAAAAATTGGACTATATTTTGTTTATGAAAAAAATGGACCATATATCTACTTAATTACTTACAACTATTATATATCGCAAAAAAAAAAAAAAATACAGCCTTCAAGGTCTCGTTGCCGGCCACTTTAATCCATCATCACCGTTGTAGATTGGTCAGAGAGAACCTTAAGTGTCTTGTGGATCAATCCCCCTTGCAGCTGAACCATATATCTATGCATATATATCCTCCTGGCGCTTTGTACGTACGTACCAGACTACCAGCTACGAATTGATCTGCGTGGTGCCGCCACCGAGAATCCGTCGTGCTTCCGCTGCCTCTGCCCTGCGTAATTATCCGCACCTCCAAGTTTGCATCGGTCGTCCTGTTCGGCGCCAAGCCAAGCGTCGTCCACTTGAATCTTTCTTCCTCCATCGGTTGCGTCGTCGCAAGGGCCTTTCTAGCGATGACGAGCACTCTCTTTGCGATGTTCGCTAGATCGATCGCCTTCCAATTCTTACCTGGCAGCATCACTACTCGATCTCCTCTCTGCCCCTATGTTACTCAGACGTTCAATGGCCATTATTAGATTTGTCATCCATACCCTACGAATATGGTATATATATATATTTTATGAATGTCGTTTCCAGCTTGATACGGAATACTTGTACTTTTGGCCTGTGGGTGGGTTGAGCCCATTAGCAAGTGATAAGTGAGTTGGTGATTAAAAAGAATATCCAACTACGTCCGTACATCTCTTTTGCCAACCCCCTCGTAATTATACAGCCTCCTTTTGGTCCCAATTAAGATCTTCATCACTTCTTTACTATATAAAGAAACCTCTTTCCATTCTTCGATCTCTCTCCTCATCCTCCTCTTCCTTACTTATTCCTTACCATGGAAACCACCACGATGGCTCTGGCCCTTCTCTCCGCCGTGGCCGCCTATTTGCTCTGGTGGAAGGTCGTGTCGAGTCAACTGACGGGTCCACGTGTCTGGCCCCTACTGGGCAGCCTCCCGGGCCTGATCGCCAACTCCGACAGAATGCACGACTGGATCGCAGACAACCTCGCCGCCGCCGGCGGAACGTACCAGACCTGCATCGCCGCAATCCCTTTCTTGGCCCGGAAGCAAGGCCTCGTGACCGTCACGTGCGACCCAAGGAACGTGGAGCACATCCTGAAATCCCGCTTCGACAACTACCCCAAGGGCCCCACCTGGCAGTCCGTCTTCCACGACCTCCTCGGGGAAGGCATCTTCAACTCCGACGGCGACACGTGGCGGTTCCAGCGCAAGACCGCTGCGCTGGAGTTCACCACCCGGACCCTCCGACAGGCCATGGCCAGGTGGGTCAACCGGGCCATCAAGACCCGCTTCTGCCCCATCCTCGAGTCGGCTCGACTCCGAGTCGAGCCGGTCGACCTCCAGGACCTGCTCCTCCGGCTCACTTTCGACAACATCTGCGGCCTGGCCTTCGGGAAGGACCCGCTCACCCTGTCACCCGAACTCCCCGATAACGGCTTCGCCGTGTCCTTCGACCGAGCCACCGAAGCCACGCTCCAGCGGTTCATCGTGCCCGAGCTCGTCTGGCAGCTCAGGAAGAGGCTCCGGCTCGGGATGGAGCCCACCATGAGCCGGAGCCTCCAACACATCGACAGCTACCTGTCCGACATCATCAACACACGCAAGCTCGAGCTTGCAGGAGGACGGTTTGAGAACGATGTAAACCCACACGACGATTTGTTGTCACGGTTCATGAAGAAGAAAGAATCCTGCTCCGACAAATTCCTCCAACGCGTGACGTTGAATTTCATCATAGCTGGACGCGACACGTCGTCCAACGCGCTGAGCTGGTTCTTCTGGCTGGTGATTCAGAACCCCGTAGTGGAGGGAAAAATCCTCGCCGAGATCTGCACCGTCCTGATGGAGACACGTGGCGAGCTGTCGCCCGATTGGCTCGACGACCCACTAGGGTTCGAGGAAGTTGACCGATTGATGTACCTCAAGGCGGCACTATCCGAGACGCTGAGGCTGTACCCCTCGGTGCCGGAGGACTCGAAGCACGCGGCCGCCGACGACGTGCTGCCGACCGGAGATTGCGTCCCGGCGGGGTCGTCGGTGACCTACTCGATCTACTCCATGGGCCGGATGAAGTTCATATGGGGAGATGACTGTCTGGAGTTCAAGCCGGAGAGATGGATGTCGTCGGACGGCACCAAATTCGAGGCAAAGGATGCGTACAAGTTCGCGGCGTTCAATGCGGGGCCCAGGATCTGTCTGGGGAAGGACCTGGCGTATTTGCAGATGAAGTCGATTGCGGCGGCGGTGCTTCTCCGACACCGACTGACGGTGGTCCCGGGACACCGCGTGGAGCAGAAGATGTCGTTGACTCTGTTCATGAAGTATGGGCTGATGGTGGAGGTTGGGCCGAGGGACCTTAGGCCCATCGTGGAGAAGGTGAAGGCGGTGGAAGGCAGCCCGCCTATTAATGGGGAAGTTGCCCTTGCTAAGGGCAATGGTCACGAGGGGTGTAGGACTGATCATCGATTGGCGGCCGCGGTTGCTTGATATTTTGATTGTCCATGGTAAAATTATGCATCTGTATGAAAATTTTATTTTATGGTTTTGATATACGTAAGATATATCAATTTAATTGCCATGCATGATAGAAAACTAAATACGCGTGTTAGGGGTGTCAAACGGTCCGGTCTGGATCGGATCGGACCATACTAAGAATTTGGCTCTGTCATGGGGCATATGTAGGTTTTGAAAAAACGTTAATAAATTCTTATGTATGTATCCGAAGGTGATTGAACTCGCTCTTTAAGATTATGTAAATGTATTTTTCCACTGTATTAAGGCTTGTTTATGTCATAAATTAATTTATTGCACTATATAAGTGAAATTATAATAAAAACTATTTATATTCTGAATCATGGATAAGTTGTGTATTTTATTTTCTTTCATCATAAAAAATTATTAGTAACTAAAGATATATGTTCAATAATTGTTTAACAATTTTTCCGACACAATCATAAATAAATAAAAAATTAAATGAAAACTCAGATTCAGTTACATCCCAAATTTGAACTTTTATTTAATTTTTCATTTCAAATTGAAAAATAAAAATTAAAGAAACCCTCTTTAGTACAATAGAACACTTAAACAAAAAAAGGAGGAGCTTATGGTGATATGACCCAATCATAATCTAGTGACGGTAGTAGCAATTAGGGTGGGCATTTGGTCGGTTCGGTTCAAACCGAACCGAAATAATGCATATCGGGTCCACGAATTCCATCAAACCGAATTCGAACTGAATTATAATTTGGTTCGGTCGGTTCAAATCGAATTATAATTTGCTTTTTTCGGTTTTTCATACAAAACCGAACTTGTGAGGTTAGCTTGTATCTTCTCTTTTTTTTTTATAAATTTTCACCCAAAATGTAAATAATAAATATGCATCATCAATGATAAAATCAAACATTTCAACACATAAGTCATAAAACACTAACATGATTCAAATATTTAAGTTTCAGAATAAGTAGAAACACAAAAATCCATCATTTGGAGTTTGCAATTATAATAATTCGGTTTTTCGTTCGGAATTCGTAAATTCGGTTCGGTCGAAAGGACCCTGGTTTCCGAAATATGCCCTTTTCTCTTCTGAATTCCAAACCGAATAACATTAATTCGGTTTCGGTTTGGTTTTACCGAACCGTATGCCCTCCCCTAGTAGAAATGGGTGGAGCGTGAGAAGGGAAATGGGGGATGGCAAAAACCGATGAAGAACGCATAGGAAGCATAAGGATCACAAGGCGATGGCGATGGCTTGTTGTTGGGTGCAGAAAAAAAAACCAGATCCAGAATCAAACGGAAGCATAAGGGTCTGGAGGCGGCGACTCTTTTCACGATTTGCTATTCGTTTAACGATTTGTGGCGCAGTGGCTTGTGGACGTGCAGTAGAGATGTGAAAGGGAGTGAGATTGAGTTGGTGGAGGAGGATGGTTTTTGATGAGAGTACAGGGTAGAATCAAAGGTTGGGTCTGGTTGGGTTGGCTTTGATAATTTGGCGGGTTTTGATGACATGGCAGATATAACTTTTCCCGGTTGAAATACACTGACTAGACGTTTCAGTTAGCTATGTCAGCAGTTTCATGACGGCGTTAATGGAGACTAATGGAAGGTAACGACCAGTGACCAAAATTGAACTATTGAACTAATTTAAGTGACTGCAAATGGAAAAAAAATATTTTTAGTGGCAAACGTGAATTTTTTTAGTAGACATGCAATTTATCCAAAAATTAATTGACTAAATGACATGGAATTTTTTTGGGTCATACTAAATCCTATGTGGCAAAAGGTTGCTCTAAAACAACAATAATATAAGTTAAGATATGTTAATCCACATCAAGAATATAATTTTATTAATTAAAAGAAGCAAGATGACTAATAATGAACTAAACTGATAACCTCGCTGACGTTGAGTGTGTAAGGGCCGGACTGAGACATCTGGGAGGGGTAAAGTTTTTCGACGGCGACGACGATGGCTTTTCCCAAACGAGTTCCGACAGTGGATGGCTTGGGGTCTTGAGAAAGAAGCGCCCTCGTACCCTGTGCTATCCGATTGAGTCTCGCGCTCTCATTTCCTCTCCTAAAGAAATCGATGGAGCTCTAGTATTGCCACTTTCTTTCTAACTCTGTTGTGCGCTTGACCGGTGAGTGGTGACACCAAGAGGTCATTTCGAATACAAGTGGCACACTAGACATGTATTTGAAAATTCATTCATATATTTGGTACAAATTCAAATACCATATGTAATTAATATAAAAAAATAGTATTCAAAAATCCAAATCCTTGGTCCAAATACACCTTCGAACATTTTCCTCAGCTGAGGGATTTCTTTTAACTCAATTTTGTTGTTGTGAGTGTTAGGTGACGAATTCTTAATGATGGTGCCAACTCTGCCATACATAGCAGCTCCAAATAGTCAAATTGTGGCGAGGACTGTACTCTGCTCTGATTTCTGATCACCATATGAATACCTAAAAACAGAAACTAGATCATACTGGCAATAGAAAAGGAAACGATAACACAGCACTTCAGATCAAAGTTGAAAACAAAATAACAAAAGGCCTGAGCCATAGACTGCTGACAAACAAAACGAGAGAAGAAACAAGAACAAACTCAAAAGCCACTGCTACTAGGACCCATGAAGGAGGTCCCCAAACCCTGCAAAAAAAAGACCAAACCAGCCAAATCGAATCCATTAATGAGAACTGGAAGCAATCCGATCCATTATAGCTGCAAGCACATCCTTGGACTCCCTCAGCAGCTTGATGCTCCCACTCAGCTTCTCCTTCTTTGCAGCCACGAATGGCGACTCCTCCAGCATCTTCTCTATCGCCCCGCCATGCCTCCCCATCAGCTCCTCCACGATCCCCTTCTCCAGCTCCTTCTCCACCAAGTTCCTCAAGCTCAGCTGCACGTGCAGCGCCATCGAATCCACCAGCCTCCTCTGCACTACCTTCCAATACGTCGCGATCCTCATCTTCAGATCGTACGCCTGCTCCAGAACCAGGCTCTTCCTCACACTTTCCACAATCAAAACAGTACCAAACCCTACAATCGATACACTAGAATGAGAACGAGCAGAATTCAGGAAACCAGGCCTCTCAGCCATCAGACTGTTCCACTCCGACATATAATCAGGACTACAAGTGTAATCCGTGAGCTCCTCCATCTGCAGGACTTCCAGCACCCAATTCGCGGACCGATCCCTCAACTTCTCGATCAGGTTGTGACAAGCTCGCCTGATGGAGAACTGGAGCTGCTGGTGGTCTTCACAGCGCTTCATCACAACAGAGAGCACAACACTCTCTATGTAGCCCCACACTTCCTCAATGAATCCAACGGGGATTCCAGAAATCCCTTTCACCTTTGTAGAATTTGATGACGCGGAATTGAAACGAACACAGAATACAAGGTATTTTTACGTGGTATCCTCGATTGATTGATCGAGACTAATCCACGGTGAGCTCGGAACGAGCTCACGACTGATATTTTATTAGAGACTACATTGTGACGGCTTGCTTACGACAGGTTCGTAACTAAGTCTTATATAGAGATAGACTAGGGTTAAAACCCTAACGACAACCAAGTTTCCTTCTTTTAATTGAACAAGGAAAACTAGGGACTTGTAGGACAAGAAATTAATTACTTTTTGACTAAGTAATTAATATCCTCAACACTCCCCCTCAAGCGAAGACATGAATGACAAGAATGTCGAGCTTGAAACTGAACAACACTCAAACAACCTCTTGCTGGCAATGACGATTCAACAGGCTGTGACTTTGTTCGCTTGCGGGAGATGAAGACAAATGATGAAACTACTCCATGCTTGACCCAGTTCTTTTGACAGTGAACTCAACATGGTGAAATTCCTTGACGTCTTGGATGAGACTGATCCGACTTCATGCTTGACCTAGTTCAACAATAGTGAACTGGCGGAATTACCTTGACGTCTTGGATGAGACTGGAGACTGATGACTGGGTTGCTGACTTTGGAGACTTCTAACTGCACTGCTGATTGTGCTTCTCCGAGCAACCTGACTGATCGATAGACGTGGTCGACTTGATGACTGAACTAGTCGACCTACGTGTGATGATTCCCTATTCTCCCCCTCAAGCTGGCGCATGAACGATGTGAATGCCCAGCTTGAAAGTTAGAATGGTGATGACTCAATATTGACTGATGCTGAATGCTGAGGGGACAATCGCTACTGGGATCGTGACTGCCTCGTTTTATGACTTGACAATTTTGTTGACGAAAGTTGTAATATCTCCCAACACTACCTGCATGACTCACGACGAAGGAACCGGCTGCATGGCATGTCGTGAGATAAAACTACAGCTGAGAATAGTAGCCACTTGATTCCTGCTATCGATTTGATCATCGTAGTGCATGCTGCTGACCAAGACGGACTGACGAGGGCGCTGATGCGAGGCGACGAGGGCGTTGATGACGATTCAACCGACGTCGACGATGATGAGGGTCGGCGGCCTGGAGCTGCAGACGGTGGCGAGCAGAGGACGGCCAGGGACACCAATGTCGTCGGGGTGCTGTTGGCGACAATGACGAAGAGAGACAGATCGAGAGTTGCGCGCTGATGCGAGGCAGAGACTCGACGGTGACAGGGACATGGCGACCTGACCGAGGGAGAGACGGAACCTTGGTACGAGCCGCCAATAACGACGACGCCTATGACTGGACAGAGACGATGATTTCGTCTCTCCGAGAAGACCAGTGGCCGTGACTGAGCGACGGTGATGGCGGAAAGGACCGGGCGAGAGTTTTGGATCAGCCAATCGAAAACAAAAGTCCCGCCGCGGACGATGATGGTGAGACTGACTTGACGACGAGGACGGTGACACATCTACGGGAGGCAAAGCTGGAGATGACTACGATACGCGGCAGTTTGATTGCGACGGCGGCGGTATTGACGACGATGTTGAGAGCGAGATCGGGGGTCTGCGCCGTTGGTTGACGACGACAGCGGCAGCGGCGGTGCAGACGACGTTGATTCTACTCGAGACGAAGATGACGTATGGGAAGTTGACTGACTGGCGATGGCGGTGTCCTGAAAAGGGCGACGCTGGCGGGAGCTCGGATCTGAGCAGCCTCTACTTGACGACTGCGACGATGATGAGTCAACGACGTCGGGACGCGGACGACGATGATGACAAGAGGAACGGCGACGAGTTGAGGCCACTAACGACAGCCTTTACTCGGCGTCGGCGACTGGTGTTGATGAGAAGATCGAGGCGGACGAAACTGATTCCGATGGAAATCAGCGACTGTGACGGGATGCGACGACGACCTTTAGAGAGAGACCACGAACGACCTCGACTGGGCAACAACGGCGACCTGATGTTGGAGTCGGAGGTGGAGCCAACAACTTCTTTCACCGTGGCTGCTGATTGACGAAGACGACGAGACAAAAAAACTTGCGGAAGCTCAAAACCCTAACAATGGCTCGAGTTTTGCTCTGATACCATGTAGAATTTGATGACGCGGAATTGAAACGAACACAGAACACAAGGTATTTTTACGTGGTATCCTCGATTGATTGATCGAGACTAATCCACGGTGAGCTCGGAACGAGCTCACGACTGATATTTTATTAGAGACTACATTGTGACGGCTTGCTTACGACAGGTTCGTAGCTAAGTCTTATATAGAGATAGACTAGGGTTAAAACCCTAACGACAACCAAGTTTCCTTCTTTTACTTGAACAAGGAAAACTAGGGACTTGTAGGACAAGAAATTAATTACTTTTTGACTAAGTAATTAATATCCTCAACAACCTTTCGATTGAGCATCGTCAGGAAAGCGGATTGGGAAAGGAAATCAGGAAGCCGAATCCCCTTGTACTCTTCCAGCACCCGGATTTCGTCCACCAGGAAGTTGCTCTTGTGGTCGTTCTCCGGTGCATCGCGGAGTTGCGCTGAGAATTTCTCCAGCATTTCAACCAGCCTGGCCGTGCAGTGCATTTGGTTCTCGTCAGGGTACTCGTTGAATTCCCCTCTGATGATTAGTTTCCTGAGGGATTCTTTGGCAGATCCAACTATACCCATGAAAGTAGTCACTGCCTCTCCCACTGAAGTCATTGTCTTCGGCATCCTATTGAGCTCAGCAATGTTGGAGCTCAACTTCTCATTGATTTTCTTAACTATCTCAGGCAAGCACCTGGGGATAAAAAGGTTGCCCAGAAATCGAAATCAAACAAGGGGTTTCCTGATAAGTACAAGTAAGATTGAAAAGTTTACAAATTTGGATTTATGCTGGATTGTTTTACCTGGAGATGATTGTCGCCTGAATTTGAACGAGCCTCTGAGCCAGCACAGGAACTCCAACGATGGATTTGTCGATCTTCGAAAGCAGGGGATGAGTCCCGAACAGCTGAGCCTCCGCAATTCTTGCCTCTTCGTACGTCTCCTCTCCAATCCGATTCCTGACGCAGACATAACCAAGTCCGATCCCGACGTTGAGAAGATTTAGAGATTTGGATGAATTTGCCAGAGAAACAAATTGGGGAAAATCGCTCACACTGAGCTTTTCCATTGATAGCAGCATATATACACTTCGCTAATCTACCATTTACACTAACTGTGCACTAGCCGTTAAACTAACTTTCTAACTAACCAATGAATGCTATACAAGTGGCTAATTAAACAGTAAAACTTGAAACCAACGACTCAATCCAAAACGGTGCGTTGCTTCTCTTCTTTCCTCTTGCCCTTCTGCACGACGTCGTAATCTTCTTCTTGTTCTGCTGCACTTCTTCGACTGCAGGGCAACTCTGCATCATCTTCCTTGAGGTCAGCAACTAAGGTAGGAGCTCCTTCACATTCACTCGAGCTCCTTTTCACCCTCCCACAAGCTGGCGAGTATAGATTATATACTCCCAGCTTGGACAACAACATGATAAAGCGATCAATCGACAAGCTTTTGGTGAAGATGTCTGCTAACTGCAACTCAGTAGGTATATAGTGTAAAGAGATCATTCCTGATTGCACTCTTTCTCTTATGACGTGACAATCCACCTCAATGTGTTTTGTCCTCTCGTGAAAGACTGGATTGTCTGCAATATGCAATGCAGACTGATTATCACCGTATACTGAAACAGAATTGTTATGCTTAATTCCAAACTCTGAGAGTAGTCTGAGTAGCCACTGCACTTCACAACTCAGACTTGCTAAGGCCCTATACTCCGCTTCTGATGAAGAACGAGACACAGTTGTTTGTTTCTTACTCTTCCAGCTCAATAAACCAGTTCCAAGAAAGGTGCAATATCCTGTAATTGACCTTCTTGAATCAGGGCAAGTAGCCCAATCACTGTCATTGTATCCCTTCAACTGCAAATCTGAATCACAAGAGTATAGAAGACCTTGTCCAGGAGACCCTTTTAGGTATCTCAGAACTCTGTGTAAGGCTCGAAGATGCTGTGTGGTTGGCTTGTCTTGAAACTGACATAGCTATTGAACAGCAAATGTAATATCAGGCCTAGTGGTAGTTAAGTACTGAAGTTGTCCCACTAAGTGCCTGTATTCACCAACATCTTCGAGTGGTGTACCACCTTCTGAAGATAGAACTTCTTTAACAAAGATTGGAGTTGCTGCAGGTTTGCAATCTCCAAATCCTGATTCTGCAATAACATCCAGACAGTACTTCCTTTGGGAGACTGTAATTCCTTGCTTCCCACGAGCTATTTCCAAACCAAGGAAATAACTCAATTCTCCTAGATCCTTCATTTTAAAGTCTGTATGCAACATTTTCTTTACTGCATTGATTGAATCCAGACTCAAACTTCCTAGAACAATGTCATCCACATAAACTATCAGCACTACCAACTCATTCAGAACATGAGCAGTGAAGATTGAGTAATCACATGCAGATTGCTTAAAACCATGATTGACCAAAGAATCAGTCAACTTTGCATACCATTGTCGACTTGCCTGCTTCAAGCCATACAAAGATTTCTTCAATTTGCACACTTTCCCTCTGTGTTTCCCATCAAGATCCAAACCCGGTGGCAACACCATATACACTTCCTCTGTCAAATCTCCATTGAGGAAGGCATTGCTGACATCCATTTGATGTAAATGCCATCCTTTCACTGCTGCAACTGATAACAACATTTTCACTTAGGCCATCTTCGCCACTGGTGAAAATGTATCACAATAATCAATCCCATAAACTTGGGTGTATCCCTTTGCAACCAGTCTGGCCTTAAATCTGTCAACTGTGCCATCAGATTTCAACTTCAATCTAAACACCCACTTGCACCCTATTGCATTCTTATCAGCTGGCAAATCTGTGATCTCCCAAGTACCATTATCAAACAGTGCTTGTAGCTCTTCTCTTATAGCTTCATTCCATTCAGGATGTTCTGAAGCTTCAATGTAAGTACTTGGTTCCATATGAGTGATCAAAGAATTAACAAACTTCTGGAGTTTAGGTTGCAAGTGGCAGTAAGAAACACTCTTACTCTGAGGATATTGTATATCATAATCAGAATGCCAGATAGGAGGTTTTGATTCTCTTGTTGATTTCCTGAGAGGTATGAGTGGATCTTCATGGGGAGAAGGACATGGGGAAAAAGTGTATGTGGAAGAAGAAGGAGAAGGAGAAGTGGAAGTAGAAGAGGGAGTTTTAGATGGAGATGGTGATGAAAGGACAGGAACAGATGCATCAGAACCAGTGAAATCAGGAGAAAAAGTGACTTCATGAAGCTCATCAGGATGTGAAATAGAGGGAGAAGGAGTGTCCTCCTCAGACTGATGAGGGAAGGAAGTCATAGGATTGGGAGGAATAACTGGTGACTGAGCATGAGAAGAAGAGATTTCAGAAAAGATTGGTGTAGATGAAGTATTTGTAGGTAGAGAAGTAGGGTTTTTGTAGGGAAGAATGTGCTCATAAAAGACCACATCTCGAGAAACAAAAACTTGTTTAGTATCAAGATTCAACAACTTAAAACCCTTGATGCCTGCTGGTATACCAAGGAAGATGCACTGCTTGGCTCTTGGGTCAAACTTTGTTCTAGGATGGCCAGCTGTGGCTGCATAAGCCAAACAGCCAAATACCTTTAAACTAGTATAGTCAGGAGGCAGGTTGTGAAGGATTTCAAATGGTGTTTTGTTTTGCAGAATGAGAGTAGGAGTTCTGCTGATCAGGTATGCTGCATGAAGGATGAAATCACTCCAATACAGCAGTGGGAGACCTGACTGATATTTTAATGCTCTGGCAACATTAAGTAGGTGTTGATGCTTTCTTTCAACCCTACCATTCTGCTGTGCAGTGTAAACAACACTCATTTGATGGATAATGCCTTCTATGTTATAAAAATCATTCATATGGAACTCCTGACCTTGGTCAGTTCTGAGTATTTTCACATTGGTATTGAACTGTGACTTCACCATAGCACAGAATGATTGGAGGAGAGGTCTAGCCTCATCCTTAGATCTCATAAGATAGGTCCACACACATCTAGAATGATCATCAACTAAAGTCAAAAAATAGCTATAGCCATTGTAAGAAACTGTGTTTAATGGACCCCAAATATCTGCATGTAGTAATCCAAAAAGAACAGGACTAACAGATGAACTGGAAGGAAATGGGAGCCTTTTCTGTTTGGCTAAGTGACAAACATCACAATGAGAAAAAGGGGAAGCTATTACATCAGGAGAAACTTTGTGAATAGCTTGCAATCTAGAAACATGTGGGTGTCCTAATCTGGCATGCCAGAGATCAAACTGCTGTGGCTGGAAGTTGTGAGAAGTGGCTGCAAGACACTGAGGTGATGAGTTGGAAGATGGTGTCTTGGTGAAAAGATAAAGTCCTCTATCCACTTGGGCTAAACCAATCCTCTTCTGTGTAATAAGGTCCTGAATAACACAGACAGAGGATTGAAAGGTAAGTGAGACAGGGTTTTGTTTGGTTAACTTGCTTACTGAAACAAGATTGTAGCTAAAAGTGGGTACTAATAGAACTTGTGAAAGAAACAAGCCACAAGGAAGCTTAACTACACCTATGTGTGTGGCCTTTACTTGTTCACTAGTAGGCAAAGTAACAGAAACACCATCAAGGACCTTATACTTACTGAAAAACTTAGAACTACAGATGATATGGTCTGTAGCTCCAGTATCCAAAACCCACAATGGTTCACCAGAAGAAGCAATAAGAGCTGAGAGTGCTGTAGTACCTGAGCTGGATGGCATGTAAGCCAATTGAGGAGGTTGCCTGTTGCCTGGAACAGAACGAGTAACTGCATTTGCAGTGTGCACTGATGGAGAAGTAGGAGGAGATGGAGAAGGAGATGGTGACTTGAAGAGCATTAGTTTCAACTTCTCCATCTGCTCATGAGTGAAAAATGCTATCCAGACTCATACGATTGTCAGGGGAGGCAGTAGAATTCTCATAAGGAATGGAACTCTCCACTGAACCAGCAAAACCAGCTTCTGCCTCTCTGGCCTTTTTGTTTTTCAGTCTATAACAGTCCTTGATAACATGACCTTCCTTCTTGCAGTAGTTGCAAATTTTCTTACCATCCTGACCTTGCTGCTGTTGCTGGCCTCTTCCCTTAAATTGATTGGAATTGGATGATCCCACAGCCAAGGCAAGAGAATCAACACTAGGACCTTTGTTTAGAGCTTTCAGTTGTCGTTCAAGCTGTAGGATCTGCTTGAAGACTGAGTCAACATGAGGTAAAACTGGCAGCATCAAAACTTGAGTCCTAGCTGATTGATAAGAAGGGTTTAGCCCTTGGAGAAACTTGATGACAAAATCATTGTCCTCGTACCTCTTCAGAGTCTCATAAGGACCAGGTACACAAGGACAAACTGGAATAGGTCTATATCTCTTGAACTCTTCCCAAATTACAGTGAGATTGGTGAAATACTGACTCACAGAATCATCACCTTGAACACATTTAGCCAATTGACCTTTTAGATCATAAACACGAATATTGTCCTCCTGGCTAAAGCGATTCTTCAAGTTATCCCATACATCCTTAGCTAACCCTAGTCTCATCACACTGTTTGCTATGTCATCTGACAATGAATTGTAAATCCAGCATCGAATGGTTCCATTGCATCTAGCCCAAGATTGATAATGAGCATCAGTTACCTGAGGAACAGGAATTCGACCATCGATGAACTGAGATTTGTTCTTCGTTTCCAGAGCTAACAGCATGACCTCACTCCAGGTATGGTAATTTCCATCGCCAAGCTTGATGGAGATGATCGTGGGTAGAGCACCATCTTGAGGAGGTAGGTAATAGGGATTGAGGTAAGGATCTTCATACTGGGATACAACAGCTTTGTATTTTGCAGAAGAGTCAGATCTAGATTCAGATCTAGATTCATTGTTAGGTGAAGCTTCCTGTGAGGCACCTTCACCTTCCATTGATGATGTAGATTAGTGACAGAAATAGAAGAAGGAAATTGCAGAAATGGGTTTTGATCGAGAGCTAGAAAATGGATCTCAGCGCGATAACCAGGCTCTGATACCATGAGAAGATTTAGAGATTTGGATGAATTTGCCAGAGAAACAAATTGGGGAAAATCGCTCACATTGAGCTTTTCCATTGATAGCAGCATATATACACTTCGCTAATCTACCATTTACACTAACTGTGCACTAGCCGTTAAACTAACTTTCTAACTAACCAATGAATGCTATACAAGTGGCTAATTAAACAGTAAAACTTGAAACCAACGACTCAATCCAAAACGGTGCGTTGCTTCTCTTCTTTCCTCTTGCCCTTCTGCACGACGTCGTAATCTTCTTCTTGTTCTGTTGCACTTCTTCGACTGCAGGGCAACTCTGCATCATCTTCCTTGAGGTCAGCAACTAAGGTAGGAGCTCCTTCACATTCACTCGAGCTCCTTTTCAGACGTCATCGGCGGCAACCTTCTCCAGCAATCCTTCCGGCGACTTGTCGACTTTGGTGACAACAGCCAGAGTCCGATCCCCTGTTTTGTCCACTTTCTGCGACATCCTTATAGATTCACAGGTCGAGAAATCGACAGTCGCTGAAAGGACATTGAGTATAATGCTCTCCTCAGGATTGATATACTCCATTATTGTTGCAGTCACTTGCTCGTAGATGTCCTCCGGCTGGCCATGGACGGGGACTCGAGTGATTCCAGGGAGATCCACCATCGTCAAATCTGGAACACCATTCTTTCTGACTACCAGAGTCAGGGGATTGTTGGAAATCCCTTTGCCGCCGCCAGCAATCTCCTCCGTGGCGGAATTGATGGCATTTGCGACACTGCTCTCATCTGTGGTGACTTTCTTAGCGGACCCATCGGCGGTGTACTCCAGATAGAGCTCCGGCGTAGCGGCGGGATGGTGGTGGAGGCGCATGATGAGGGGGACTCTTGTGCAGATCCCCTGCCCACGAGGGAGGCTGATTCCGGCCAAAGATTCGAGGACGCTGGACTTGCCGGAGGACTGATCGCCGACGACGACGATGGTCGGGAGCTGGATTCCTTCCTTGGCTGCGACGTTGAGGTGGCGGAGCTTGTCGACGGCGTCGAGAAGTGGACGGATACGGTCATTGAAGGAAGACACTATGGGAACATTGTTGTTTTGATTCTCATCTGAGGGAGTTGGAATTGGGACAATCTGGGAGTCAACTTGCTTATTATTCGAAGCATTTTTGCTCTGTTTCTGGCTGCTTTTGCTGCCGCCGGCCATTTCTGTGGATGATAATTTGCACGCTCTTGTGACTGTGGAATTGGGTTTTTGCTTGAAGGAGAGATGGGTTTCTGAGCAAAAGGAGCGATGTGGCGAAGAAGAAGGTTTGTGCAACGTTTATATAGGCGGGGAGATCCTCTGTTACGGTGTGGAAGATGGAAGAAAAGGTTCTTTGGTTTTCCCCAGCATGCATCAGCAGTAAATTTCTCTTCTTTTGAGTTTCCTTGGGAGAGAAGGTTTTTAACTTTTCCAAGAACAAAGGGATGGACTTTAGGTCTGCTTATAGCCTAATCTAATACGGTTACATCCTCCGCAATTCCCAAGTCGTAACTGCACGCCATACTGAACATCACGATCACGAATGAATAATTTTAATTGTAATCCTAGCCTTTTTCATATTGCAATAGGGTTTGAATGAATGAGAAAGTTTCATTTCAACGGTTCTATAACAAGGTAGAGCAATCGTTTATAGCTTCTCTATAATTCCTCAGATCATCTCCTGTCTCAAGGTTTACAAATGGTGTATTGAGTCAATTCATGTATTTGTGAGATAAAATCGTTTTTTGGCTTATATTAAAGTAGAATATATATATTAACTTTTTGGAGATCCCACCACAATCACTCCTAATTTAAAGATTATCAATCTCTATTTTTTGTTGACATTCTTCACAATCACTCAAAATTGACTTTTATGGCTTTACAATAAACCTCCAAACAAAATATTTTCCTAATACATCAATTGATTTTATATATCAAATGATAATAAACTAATTGACTCAATATCAATTTGAAGAATCACAACTTCCAAACGACCCCTAAATAAATACTAACATAAGCCCGCTTGCTACCGCTTCACGTGTTAGCGTGAAGATAATATTTTAAAGAGTAGTTTGTTGTTTGGAATGTGAGTGATTAGTTTAATGGAAATAGGATTTGAAACTGTTATGAATATTACAAAAAATTTAGAGTGCAATAGACCGTTGAAATTTCGAGAAGAGGAATTAATAATTCCAAAAAATTGGCAGCGTTCGTGAGATTTTTTTTTTACAAAAGATAATCAGATATATTGATTGGAAAAATAGGTAGTTTCATCCTGGAACCAGGCAAAAAAATTAAAAGAGTAACACATAGTCAGATACAAAGAAAATGTCTTCCTAGCCACCAATAGGCTATCCTATTGTTAATCGGGATTTTTCCAGAAATAGCACCTTTAAAAAAAAATTACAAAAATAGTACCCAGACGAAAAAATTTACACTAATAGCACCCTTTTTTATGGACCGCACCTTAGAGGTGCGTTTTATATATAAACCGCACCCTCAGGGTGCGTTTATAATCCTGGACCAAAACCGCATCTTGGCCAAGCAGTTTCAGGTCTGACCTACAGAAACCGCGTGGCCGAGGTGCGGTTTTGGCCTGACCTAGCAAAACCGCACGCCCAAGGTGCGTTTTGGTCAATTAATTTCCGACACGCCATGCAGAATAACAGAGGTGGGTCTGCATGGCAGACGAAAACCGCACCTTTTTCATCAGTGATTTTGCCTATTAAAAGACTTCCTGGAAAACCACTTCTCTTCACACCTCTCCTTCTCCCTTCTCCCTTTTCAATTTTCTGTTGTAGCTCTATATTTCTTTAGTAGTTTTGCGATTAACGTTAACTCGTAAGTTTATTTTGTATTACTTTTTATTGTTATTTCTTATTTTTATGATATTGAACTATCGTTTTTTTGCAGATGGCATTCCAAAAGTTCACGCTTGGATTATGGTGGAATGGTTACACGGAAGAGACCGGAAAGGGGGTCACCTACATCGGTGGCAATTTTCAGAAGATAAAGGTCGCTACCAGACCGCTGGTTGAAGACCTCCATCAAATGTGCACTAACGTTACTTGCATGGATGGCACGAGAAGAGTTGATCGTATGGTGTACCGATATCCAAACAGAGAAAGTGGGTCATTGTGGCATGAGGAATATCTCATAACCACTCAGGATGAGGTAGATGCCATGCTCAAATTCTTGAGGTCCAACAATCTTTCCAAAGCCGAGATGTTCATTTACACCGAGCCGGTCGTAGGCGTTGGAGGTCATTCTGGACACGGTCAAACATCTGGTATCCATGGTGGAGGTGAATTATATGGCGATCATCCCTACCAAAGTTACCATGATCCTCATTCCTATTTTCAGTACCAAGAGCAAGGTGAAGGTCATCATCAATCTTTCCCGTCATATGAAGAAGAAGTTCAACCGAACCTCCCCAACCAACCTCAGTACAACTTCCAATCAAGCAGCGGTAGTTTTCACAACTACCATTATGGAGCTGATAAAGGTGTCTTTCATGAGCTGGATCAGATGGAGGATGCCCTGCCAGCACCAGTCAGTGACCCCTCCGATGAAGAAGGAGAGAACAAAGTCAGTGCAGACAGCTCCGACCCTCTTGAAGGTGCTGATGATTCAGGACCAGAGTCAGACTCAGCTAATGATGATGAGGTGGCTCGTGACCGTGTACCAGTCCCCTACTACAATCACATTCCAGACGACAATTGGATGGTTGACAGCGACATGGAGCCGCCAGAGGTCTCAATATGGGGTCCACTCACTGGGTTTATGAAGGGCCAACAATTTGGCTCGAAAAAGGAGGTGCGGCACGCCATTGAGACTGAAGCAATGAATCAGCATTTTGAATGGCACACAACTCATTCCAACACTAAAAGGCTCATAGTCAGATGTCGTAATCATCACGAGGGGTGCAATGTTAGGATTCGGGCCATCAACAGCAAGAGACATGGCCACTGGGTCATATCCCGTGCGGTGAACACACATACATGTGTGTCATCCATAACTTCCCAAGGCCATCGACAGTTGAAATCCAGGGTGGTTGATGCGGCTATCAAGCATCTAATTGAGCAAGATCCGGACCTGAAGGTGAAAGTCATAATCGCTGACATTGCAAGTCGTTATGGTTATATGATTAACTATAAGAAGGCGTGGCATGGAAAGCAGAAAGCTCTGACCGCGGTCTTTGGTGATTGGGAAGAATCATATGCATTCCTTCCCAGGTTAATTTTGGCATTGGAGGCGTCTAACCCTGGCACGGTTTTCTCCCCTCGATACCAAGATGAAGAGATACAACCCCCAGATCCAGGTAACAAACGCCATTTCAGACGACTTTTTTGGGCATTCAAGCCATCTATTGATGGTTTTGGCTTCTGTGTCCCTGTGATCCAAGTGGATGGTACATTTCTTACCGGCAAGTACAAGGGCACTGTCCTGATTTCCAGTGGCGGGGATCGTTGTATGAGATCGGGGTGGGATCATATGGGGATTGATGGAAACTCGGAGGGGATTGATGGTAGGTCGAGCGGGGATCATAGTATGAGCTTGGGTGGGGATCGTTGTGGTAGGAGGGGCGGAACTCTTGGGATGAACTCGGGCGGGGATCTTTGGCGGAACTCGGGCGGGGAGCTTGGGTGGAACTCGGGCCGGCACCATGTGTCACAACCAATGGGGGTGGCACTTTCCACGCCTGATATGGCGTTACGTCGGCCACGTTGGGCCTTTCCCGAACCCTCTTGCTCTTCTTTCTCTCGTATGGTGGTGGGGGATCGGGGACATCAACTTGTACCAGAGGTGGCGGGGGTGCGGGCATGGGCGGATATCTACGATGATCCCGACCATGAGCTCTGATACAGCCAAGCAGATTGTTTGCCATCCTCCTAATGAAGCTCACATCTTCATTGCCCAGCTCAATTCTCCCGGTGGTCATATCTTTGATCTGCTCGATCCCATCAGCCTAAATCACAAAAAAAAAGTTAGAAAAAAATTTAGGAACCAAGTAATAAATTTAATTGTTTAGACGGAATATACTTACTAATGCACCATCGGTCGCACCCTCCGGAGTCATGTAATGAACCGATGTTTGCCGATATCGATCAAAGTATGGGTCATGATACCCCATTCGACCCACTTGAGTTGGAGTGACAATATCCTGGGATTGTCGGTTCTCCCACATCGTGATGAATTTCGCCAACTTCGTGGGCCAATCGCGAGTACCTTGCCGACCATCTCGGCCATGAAAGGCCCTTTGACTATCGGGGACCTCCAACGGAATGCACTGCTCCCAACCAAACTGACGGAGGCATCGATCCGGTAAGTGCCACTCCACGGTCCCAAAACAAATTATAGGGACCCTAGTGCACCATTGCCCGATATGACCGGAGAATTGCTGGAGATGCCAATGAACGATGTTCTCCGGGTTTGGATCGAAGACGATCTACAAGAAAGAAATGAGTAACTTAAGATAGTCAGAATTGGAAAAATACATGTAGTTCATGGAAAAAAGATATAAATGGATCGAAGTATAGAAGTTACCTCTCCTTCCCAAAGTCGCTCAAACCTCCTCCGATACTCATCCAACTTGTGTTGGGCAAGGTTGTCGCATGTTGTGTGTCCGAGCCACCTTATTAATAAGACAATAATGAACCTACAATAAGCTAAAACACAAGGGAAAATGTGTTATCAAAAACATGATGGGGTATGAGAAGTTTACCTTGTACCATAAGCTTCACCTCTTAGGGGATGATCGATTGGCCAATCCCTGTCGGGACGTTGGACCGGTGCAATCCATGGCATATGTTCCCAAGCCCAAAATTGGACGATGAACATTGCGCCGCCGACCTCCCTCACAGCTTTTAGATACGCATTGCACAAGTTGTGGTAGATATTAGCTAGGCAAGATGATGCCTAGCTATACTCCCCCATCTCCTCCCAACTACCGAGGATGATCCTAAGACATCCACAACTAAGGAGATTGCTTGATTTTTTGGAGAAGAACACTCCTCCGATCATTCCTATGAGATAGACACGAGCATATCTCTCCTTCTCATCCTCCGGACTTTCCTCGGTTAGGGGATGACTCTCGTAATGGTCTCTAAAATACTTCGTCAACCAAGTAACTAAGACTTGGTGTTTCCTCATTGGTGGCAAGCGATCGGTCGCATCAACGC